TACCTTGGTTCCGAACAATGTTTGTTGTTTCTCACAACGCAAAACTGTGGCTAACAGTCATAGGGATGCAGTTTTGATTCAGCAAAGTTAACAGTTCGAGACACATTGTCCCTTATATTAGTTACGGCATGCAGGCTATTACAGATCAATGGTGTTCAAATTTTCAGAAAATTGTACCTAACGTTGTTCTGCGTACATTCGAGCTGTCCAGGGATACATGGCTATGTAAGCTTTTGATAAGTCCTTTAACTTGTGATGCCAATCCCGGTCAACATTGAGTACAATTGAGGTCTTTTGTAGAAGCTCAGAATGCGTCATTCCACCCCAATCGGCGTGCTTACTTCTCAAACGCGGTTGGATTTGTTGACTTGATCGCTTATCGTCAACACCTGCTCACCCATACCGTCACAAACCGTTTCTACAGAGAGAAATAAATATGATGTATAAACCAATGTCCTTTTGACGTTTAGAAAACACCTAGTGATCCCCATGGAGGCAAACGCGGTTGTTCCATTCACCATATCGACCCAGGTTGGTAGCGTACACCCATTGAAAAAAATATTTCACATCCTAGATTATTAAGCTCATCTCCACTCTCATCTGTTTGATCATGACCATTTTCAGGCATCTAGATGGCAATTCAATGAACAGGTGAACTACTAAACTTCATAAAATTATCTTCAATTTTAAGGTGAATATGTTGAGAAACCCGAATTTCAACCGCCAAAAGGCTATTACATCTCACATGGATGTAACCCACTGAAGCCACTTTATTGGTCTGTATAAGCAGTCAAGGTACATTCTTGTTGATATTATTCCATTCCCTAATCAACAGTGCCACTAGTTCGTGTTTGACCGTGTAAACTCTGGTGTACCTTTGGAATAAGAATAGCCAAAATGCTTTCAACTGGGTACCAACCTGTGCTGCCACACGCAGAACATACCTTGGTTTTGTTCCCACGAAACGATAACCAGTATTTTGTTAGATACGAATAATGAACTACGGCAATATTATGCTGGAAAATGGATTCAGCTTGATAGTTCAATTGCCAGTATACGAATATAAGCATCAGAATCTTGAGGTAATTTGAGTTCTTTTGGACCTCTACTTGATAAGGTACACCTTAACATCACGGAATTTCGATCAAAAAACCGCATACTGAATTTCCGATCTTTCCACAAAACCTATCAATATCGGTTACACGCTTCGGGTCCATACAAAACAAATTTTTCTTCGTCGCTAAAGTATATGAAATACCCTAGATTTTTCCAAGCTACACGAGTTTTAACCTTCCCTAAAAGTCTTCCAGTTTTCAAAGTTGTTCGAGGTATGTGTCTTCTCGTTTCCCTGCATTTCATCCGGGACAATGTTACAAGTGTTCGTTGCACCGTTTGCACTGAAACATTCAATTGAAGCACCGTTTTCCTCTCTGCTACACTACTCAGATTTTGATTCTACAGATATCAATCTTCCTGTGGAAGATGACCTTGTGAAGATTGATACTCATCAAACAGTAAACCAAATTGCCTGTTGTAACTCGTGATTGGCATGCAACAGTTAAGTGTCCAAGTTGTGCAACGTGAATGGCACGCCCATCACAACTCATCACACACAATGGTCAATTTGGGTAAAAGATCCTACAGCTATAGACGGTATCGCTTTTCGGCCGTCATGAATTTCTGGTCGAAAATCTTAAATTGACCACACAGAATAACAAATGTACTGTTTACAGAGCTGAGATAAACGGTTCGGAAGTGACAAATAGCGAATTTGATTTAATTTAATAGTTTCAAGCCTTTAGGTGGTACATACCCAATCTCAATCAAAACACTGAGGAGAGTTGGCCAATTACTGGTGGCAATTCGGAAGAAAGCCACTGATCTAACGCCAGTTATGATAAACACACTGAATAAAATCAATGAAACCGGTAGTGGTTTGGAACGAGTTTGAGATATCACTCTCTACAGCTAACAGAACGGTTTCAAGCTATGCAAGGATAAAGTTAGTAATTTCTGGATCACACTACGGCAACACGTTCAGGTTCGTGGCAACCCGACACTGATGTCGAATCTGTTGCGGCTGATTAATTACATCCACATTAAGTACCATTTAGTCAAATCAACCCTAAAACCCATCAGCCCATTGGACTTAATTTGTAAACTGTTTGAACCGTCAGAATCTCAATGGATGCATAATAAGTATTAAAATTTATGGATAGAATACTACAAATGTGCTGAAAAAATCTAAACTGAATGCATTGTTGTCAGTAATGCTTTTTTTCATCCAGAAATATTGATTTCCGAATAAACTCTCTGATTGCTCTTGTATACTAGTTCAGAAATATCGGTTTTGCTAAATCGTGTGCATTGGACCCAATTTTAATTTAGTTTATACAACCATTGGATGTCTGAAAGCTATTCTATCACTTTAGCTCATTTCCAATGTTGCAGTAAATCTGTGAACACAAATGTGACTTGGCGGAGCCTTCACATTTCGGCCGCCCCGTCCGTTATTCCACTCTCGGATTAGTTACCGCATAACCATCACTATATCTCCCAGGTTTACTGGCTTCGTTCGCATGAACTTTTACTTTAGTTGCCAAGGAGGATATTGTGCAATTAGAGTAATGCCTGATTTCGTCAAATATGTAGCGAAAGTGCGGTCGAAGCCATTTTTAATTGAGTGTGTCGTGCGCATGTCTCATTGTATCTTTTAGTTCATGACCTTTTTGTGTTTTCTCTATCTTGCAGGTTACTTGGAAGCCCGTCTACGGAGAACCGGCTGTAAGAATTGCATCCTACATGTAAATTGAGAGCGTCGGTGAGTGGCCAGGGATTGCGCGACCTTTGCGGACGACGTTAGTGATGAAATAACTCGGACTGCATTGTCTAAACTCAACCTCCTGTCAATGTTTCGGGTGCATTCAGAGCTGTGGTCGGTCAAACATACCAAAAATGCGCCCGTGATTTTATGTACTCAGTCCAATGGAACAAAGGTGTAGCTCTTACGTGTTGTGGGAGAACAATAAAGAATAAAGCCAAAAGGACGATCAAAAGGCTTTCGAAAAATCTGAGGAAGCATCGCACCGGTTTGAGAGTTGCTCTTCAGAAGCAAACCATCTCCCGTTTGTGTTCCCCCATTCCTTCATGCTCAGTTGTAAGGTTCGAACTCTATTCGGAAAATTGCTGATATCAAAAAATTGGGTAAACTGTGGGAATATTCCCCAATTGGTATGGTCATGCCTCAAGAAAGCTAGCTTCACAATGGAACAGAGGATCAAACAATACCCTCGGATGGTTTCGTTAGCAAATTATGTCGATCGTGCAGTTCCTTACTTCAGACGGAGTAGTGGTGTTATCACTTTCGCTAAAAATCAGTGGTTTCAACTGTCCGAAACTTTGGTTCCCTATTCTACACTCCATACAAATGCATCTGTGGTAGAATGTAAACCCAAACAATTAAGTTTCCCCCGGTCACTCATTCGTATTAACCTACATATTACCCCTCTCGCTCATCCCATGCTTCTACTGATGATTTGACACTCTGAACTATATTGATTTCATATGTAAATAACTCATGTTGTATTATTTGTGGCGGCTTTAACAATTCTGATACCTCTTTTGTAACCACTTTGGGTTTTCAAAGCACTGACATCTTTCTCACCAGATTTGGTGCATATTTTGATTTGGGCTTGGCTAACTTTCCATATCTGTCTTGTGTATAGTGCCGACCTCCGTTAGGGTTGTCTAATCACTCTGTGTTAAAACTTTACCATTTTGGGTCTGAACCAGAGCTTCTCCAATGGCTCAACCGTAATCCCTGTCCTACCCAGTGGAAGTGACATAAGCATAACCAGTCCTGTTGCCAGCATTGCTGTTGCCAGAACTAACCCAATTGAACCCGTCCAAGACCAACGGTTCCGAGGAAGTCATAATCGTCGTCCAAAAACAAATGCGATGACTTGAATAGGCACAAGTTAATCAGGGAGGATTTGGAAATGTGGTTGTGGACCAACTGAAGAAAATAATAGAAATCTATTGGAACACTCTCAGAGGCAACCAATCTTAGTGTCTCTTGCGTCTCAATCTTCGTCATATTCATATTCTCGAAGAGCAGGCGACTAACCTCTAACTCGAAGCCCGTATCTGTATGTGTAGAATTATACCTTGAAACCCGTGGACAAAAATAACGTCGTACACAACCACCTCGCACAGTTAAATAGTTTCCCATTTCACTCACGTTTTTAATAACCTGTACATATCACCGTATGGTACACAACCAAATATATTCTTCCATGCAGTAGATCTATTTCACAAAGTATACGTGATACCAATCCTGAATTTGAGTCGGCCAAGTAACGTTGAACGTTTGTTGAATTAGGAATATTTCCTTCAATGGGTTGCATGACAACTGACCAAAACCCATAATTGACATTCATTGCGTTTTCCTAGTTGATATATTTTATTGTGAGAGTATGAAATTGATCCACAATCTATCTAGCATATGGGAAATCCCTAGATCAAGGGGCACGATCAAAAATATTGCATCAAAACCAGTGTTGACGATAACCAAACACTGCCTGCAATACTGTGGCTGGGGCCGTCCAGAGGAACAATCTGCCGAGAATTCTCCAGCTTAATGATAGTAATAATGATAATAATATAACTCAATCTAGTGGTCGTTGTGTTATTCAAAGCAGTGTCCATCAACAGATATCTTAGGGATTTTTGCAAACAATACATCGCATCAACTCCGCCTGATTTGATTCCACCGTACCGAAAAGTTTACTTCTTCAGTGTGTGATTGTAAAGTGTAAAGTTACTGTCCACAACGGTGCTCGTGACTCCCATTTATGTTTTTATATTTTTGGAGTGACAATGTTTGTTTCTACATCGGAACCGATTCCTCGTTCCGTTTCGTGACGCTCAGTTCACGTGTTTAGGGGGCTCAGTTTGCGAAACACCGATAGCGAATGCGACACTGAGCGTGTTTGTCATCAATATCAGCTGAAATGATTCCGTGCGAGCCACGCATTTGTTCCACACGGAATTCACCCAATACTAGCACCGCTCCACATGTGGTACGGAGTTCGTTATAAATAGGTACCGATGCTCGAATCCATAGTTCATTTCTGTCTGACTGTGCATTATATAGTTCCATAAAAATATGCGGTGGGTTGGATCATTCGCCATTCTCACCATTGTTCTCCTTTACGTACAACTAGAGAGCGCAGAATCATTTGGTAAGTGTTATGTTCGGACGGTAAATGGTTTTCTATAGAAAAGCTTAATCAAAGTAGTAGAACACAAGCTGGCTTTGAGTTGGGCTGACGCGGATTGTACTTTTCTGTTAGATCTTGTTCATTGCATTTTGCTGAACCTTAATCAGTCGAAATCCAGGCCCATTACTCCTAGTCGGTCAACGCAATGTTCACCTGATGGTATTCATTGACGAAAGAGTACAAGCAGAACAGATTTACGTCATCCGATTGATGCATAGAACTGAAGCCAGTTCTTAGCCAACCTTATCTCCATTAAACCAACGATACCTCACTTGCTCACCAATCTATCATACATATTTCTTCGATTATCTTCAGATATTTGTAATCTTCGAATCAATCCCGGACCGTGTTTGGCCATCCATTATCGATGGGGCTGGGACAATCGTCGTAGACAATGCATCCGGTTCCGTTACGGCGGCTGTGGTGGAAACCCGAACCGTTTCCCAAGCAAACTGGGATGTGAACTGGCCTGTCGATATCGCGTTCCGGCACAAAAAGTATGAAGGGTTTTGTTACCGATAATATAACTATTTCAATCAAGCACTGTTTTTTGCAACCCGTTACGTTTCTCACCTGTATGTTCAGTCTGGTATGAAAACGAAAATTAGTACAGTTTCCAGGTGAACAGACACACTTCGTTGCGCCAACCGAAGAGATTTACAATAATGTATCATATTTTTTGTGAAAATGCATGCTTCGCATCACTGCTAAATAGAAAACTCGGAAAACTTGTTCGATGTAGAGCACAAAACATCTCTTCGTGTGTCTGAATATTCGGTCACCCACAACATATTATTTTGTTAGGGACGACGTGCTATCGATTCTGAGGTGCTCAGCTCCAAACATTCTAAATCATCGTTCCCAGCAAAGCATCAATTTATATTGGAAATGCCGCAAAATTTGGAAGGAATTTCGCAAATACTGTTTACGATGATAATTCAGCCAGAAAGTTGCAAACCTCGTACCAAACCAAACAATTCATAAGAGCTTGAAGGAAAACAAATTGAACAACTTTTATAAAACAAATATTCATTTTTCCGTAGTATTTATTCTTTCTTTGTCTCGGAACTTCATCTCCGACGTAGTTAGCAAGATCATTCAATTCGAAAACAGCCAGTTGGGAAAATGCCAATAAGAGCTTTGCGTGGGCCTACATTAGTGGATATTATAGTCCGTACTTAAGACAAGTTCAAAGTTTTATAATGATTATCCGTTTAACGAACCCACTTCGAAAAATTTTGCGTATATCTTATACGAGTCAAGCGTTGTCCCCTTGTCATAATCGTTTGAACATTTTCAACTTCAAATTTTTCAATTGGCGCATAGCTGCGCAACTGATTCTTCTGTTATGCAATTTTCGGTGTTGTCTAGTTTCACATCCAACCATACAGGACCTTTTGACACATTTTTCACACTACTAATAAGTACTTCATCTCTGAGTGCAAATACTCACCACGCATAGTCTGACAGAACGACTGAAAAGTTGAACTCCACAGTTTTCCAATTGCCGTCAAAGATATGAGATATTGTTTGGTGCTTTTTTATAGAATCTTAGTTTAGATGGGTAATTAGTCTCGATTCGCACACACTGCTATGTTAACACTCAATGGAAACGATGATTTCCAGTGTCATTTAAGCGGCGAGTGAGTAGATTGTCTGCTCTATAAGTTAACCACATCACCCAAAGAATTACAGGAGTTGATGTGGATATGAGTTCATCAATCCTAAAATATTATGATGCGTCTGAGCTTAATTCGTACCATCTACAGCCACCACAGTATACCTATTCAGTCCACCCGCAATCGCGCACGATATTAGTGTTTGTGACAGTCATTTTGTGTCTTCAGGTGGTCGACAGATCTATTTACTGTTTTTGCAAGTGACCGATAACTTCAAGCGGATTATAAATTCGATAAGCTCAAATATCACACGAGATGGCAGGACGAACGATAAATTCGAAGTTGATTCTGATGGTGAAACCTTCAAATGAGCAGAAAGGATGATGCTCAGGAGTGGCAAATTGGTTTTACCTCCTGTTTTGAGAACAGAAAGCATGCTGCAGCACACACCCCAATCGGTTGTTTGTTATTAGTATTCGGAATCAGCTTGATCTTTCATGATGGTGCCACACTTATGTCTGTGAAAAGCTGCTTCGAATAATGAAGCCATTTTCGAGAGCACACAGTGATCTCTAGTAGGCTGCAATAAGTTGCTGATGATAAGGTTAGTTGTACAGATCTTGAATAACTACAACAACAATAGAAAAAATAGAAATATATTTCTTAGACATTTTATCAATGGCATTAAATACATCTATACAAAACAGTAACTTAACATACAGGGCTAAAGTTATCATGGGTTATCATAGGTTGTAAGTACAGAAGATAACAATAATCGATCAGTTTCGCTTCAGAGGAGACTGTAAAAATACCTACTGTTCATTTACTGTAAACCGTTTCTAATTTCCTTCATTTCGTTTTTCGAATTACTATCTTTCAAAAATTTTCCCCTCTTACTTCAATCCAATACCATATCCCATAACATCTTCAGTCAACGACGCTCTGAATCTTTGCATTCACATTCCTAAATCCTAACGGAAGCCAACTCTGAAAACAAATTCTTCAACTGTGTATGCCACATTATAGATTGACTAACTCTTGCTGTCTCTCTCTCTCACTGTTTCTTTCAGTCCAGCCGAATGCTTGTAATACACGCACGGTATCCACAGGATGTGCCCAAGCCGCTTTAAATGTTGGAGTAAAATCATTTTGTCCAAAAGAATACCATCTTTTGTGGCACTTAATTGTGCGTTAAATAGAAGACTCTATGAGCCCGACACTCGTAAAGACCTGCTTTTTAGAGATGAAAACGGGTAATCAATTCCCAAGTAATTACGTTATGAGGTGAGTTGTTTGTAAGCACCATTAAGTGGTTATTGGAATCCCATGTGAGCCAAGAGTGGATTAAAGGATTTCGTTCTTTTTGCAATTATAGAAAACAACCAGAATCTCAGGCTGACGATCATGGATAAACAGACAATCATGAAAATACTCACAAACTAGATGTTTCCTTCCATGTACTTTTATTTACCCTAGTCAGATACTGTTGTTTAAATTAATAACTATCTTCGTCCCGAAACTGTCATGTGGACCTATAACACTTGGAGTGGTATGGTATTGAACCGGATGCCAGCAAATCTCAATATCACCGAAATTGGGTGACAGTGGTGAGGTTTTAATCTCGGACCATACGTTCCGAAGCACGCCGGTGATTGTGACTAAACCACTGCACCACCATCACAAATATAACGTTGACACACGTCGGCTGGCCTCATCGCTACTCACATGATGGTCTCTCTAAACACGGGTGATTCCACGTAGACAGATAATCTGTTCTGAGAGGCGAAGCTTTGCAGCTGTATGGCGGCACCACATGCAGCGTTGCCCGCCCACATGCGTCTCCAGTGAAAGGATGATACCTCACTTTGTATGTGTATTTGTATAACTTGTGTAAGCCTATACGCTTACATTTTAGTACCTGAGATATCGCAGATTAGCAAACGCCAATCTTGCTCTATAGTTGCGTCGGGTGATCTCCTTACCATGATTTCTGCTAGCCTTTTTGCAACTCCTGAGGCAAACAAAGATTTCAACCGCTTCCAGAAATTCATTAAACAACAAAACCAGGTACAGTCTCCTAACAATCTTGCAATAGCACTCTGAACTTTGGTGACTTGACTGAGATGACATGCAGACATTATATTCCTCAACGGCTCACGAAATCGTCCATTGAAAGCAGCGGGAAATTCAATGAAGCATGCAGCAATTGCGCACTGAAACCGGTGTTGTTGTTCCAGAGCTCTTCGAAAGATGAAAATTTGGTAGCTGTATCCTGTGCCAGGACGGAAACCTCCATAAATAGGCAAATTGGAATGCCTATTTCTTTGTATGAGAGCGATTCATTACGAGCTGGGTGCAGGCTTTTCTAGTTGGGTCCGGCAGGCTCATTCCACATTAGGTTTTACAATTCGTTCTGTCGCTCTTCTTTGGGAATGAAAAGAAGTTCGAGTAAGTCCAACTTGGTGGACAACTTTTAGTCTCCTAAAGAGAGCGGAATAGGGTTGGAAGTCGCCTGGAAATTGCTGGGAGGCGTTTATTGTAAATTGTGGATATGAATTCGTCTTCCACAGGTTCCTCGCCGAAAATAATGACTCTTCTAACGATAGGGGATCACAGATGATATCGTACGAGGTCGACGTCGAATTTGTATCCTCTGCTTGATCCAGCTGAGCACTGAGGAGCTGGTTGGAGTGCTTTGTATATCTAGTTATCTCACCATAGAAGTCAGGAAAGAGTCCTCCGGAAGAATCAGGTAGGAGAGATTGAGTGAACAGCCTTTTATCGGACGCTCACTGTGTGAAACGTAAAAGGTTTCGGAAGTGGTATGCACTGGTTAGGGTTTACATCTTGGTGGCTATTACACTCCTGTAGTTTCGGCGATCACTCCTTTACCGAGCGGATTGCTTAGCATCTAAAGCGCTGGTATTCAGGACAACCAGCTAAACGTGCACCTTAGGCCAAGTTCGAGAGCCGATTGGTAGCACCGGAAGTTTTGTCCCGGCACTTCTTGGAGCCCGATTCGCTGAGAGCCGCTTGTTTTACCATTAATATTGCCTTTGCATGTCGATCAGATCTATTATGCTAACCCGTAACGGTTGGCATTTCAATCCCCTTCACTTGTGTCTGCGAGTTCTTACTACATCCTGACCAACACACCTGTCTGTGATTCGGAATAATTGTCTTTAGGTAGATCGTCAAACGAAGTCAGTTTCACACGTACCAGCATGTGATCTTATTCATCCTGATTACTGGATTCAGAGTCGCGATGCGATCTTTAATTTTCTGCTGACTAAATTCAGCGTGAGAGGATCAACAGATTTTCAACTAAATGCCCTGTTCTGTCATCGATGACGTACCATGTTGGAATATTCCGTCTCGGTTGACAAAACCGAGTGTTGGTAATCTACAGTCAGTTTAAATGACTGAAGTTTATTATCTATCACCGTTTTCACAACTATGTCCAATCCCGAACTTCCGGACAATGGGAGACTGTACTAGTGTTCCAGTCACCCACATATCCCTTTTGGTTATACGGTGCACTACTGCTTGAAGGCTGTCATCAAACTCATCCTTCACAATGCTGCTGGATGGGACGTAGACTGCAACCACAGTGGGACTGACCAGCTGACCTTCGAAGAGCTCTGCAGCGATTCTTGACTATATTTGTTTCCCAAAACGCGATAACTCAAAGCCATCGCCCCTCCTTGTTCACCTAATTTTTTTAGCCCACGGTGCTTAATCCCGTAATGGCCATCTGCATCATGGTCCAGTTAGAATTACTGACACCCCCGTCACTGAATGAGTTTGGGGTGTGTCGCTGCCTAGGGAACCTTTTGCACATAACAGTGTCTATGGGCAAAATGATAATGGAGTTTCACGGAAGTTTGGCACGAGAGATGTCTGCAGCATCATTCAGCTTTTTTCAGCGGAGCTCCTCTAGCCTTTTTAAATTCATGTACGAACTGCCAGACAGCTTTTTGTTCCATTGTTACCGGTGTCTCCGCTGGAGCTAATTTGACATTTGGTTGATGTGGCTGCAGCCCAGAGGTTCATGTATCTCCGTTTGTTGGACTGGCTTCATTCAAGGCCGTTTGATCAAGCAGTAGATCTCTTCCGCCCATTTAGAAGCAGCTACCTTAGAATACCGTTCATCGTCTCGCCAAGGCCTTTAGACTTCAGTTACCCTCAATCTGGTTAATCCCGCCTGTCGAGTGGTTTTCCGGGTTGTGGCCGCTGATGCGTGTCTCAGTTTTGTGGAGCCACAGGTGAGCCTGAGTACATGATGGAGACCGCAGAGGAGGGGGATGCCCCAATCGTACACGACAGTTTATCCACTCTCCTATCATGTGCTCTATACATTTCTACGTAAAGTTTTTATCCCAATGTCATTTATGGTTAAGTTAAAGATAAACGGAAAGATAGAGAAGCCCTGTCGTACTACACAGGTAATGAAAAACGAGGATGAAAAATCATAAATGCTCATCTTTTCCTAGGTCTTGGAATCGCATGATACTTCTCGAAAACTCCGTATTGCATCAAAATTCCAGAGTGTAGGCCACTAAACGAGGATGAATACGGCACTGATATCTAGAAGCACGGCAAAAAAGTAATGTTTCATTTGCTGAAGGAGGTTAAAGATTTGGTTTGTGTAGTCATAGCTTGAACGGGGTCCGACTGGCTCTAGGTAGACTTTACTTCACCCGTTGCAGTCAATGCACGCAATAAAACGGATGATAACACTTTCGGTGATACTGGAGTTTGGTGGCAACAAATCATGTCACAGACTTTCTTTAAAGTGGGTT